TTTTTTGCAGTACGCGGGCCTCTCACTGCTGTGGCCTCTCCCGTTGCAGAGCACAGGCTCCGGACGCGCAGGCTCAGCGGCCATAGCTCACGGGCCCAGCCGCTCCGCAGCACATGGGATCTTCCCAGACCAGGGCACGAACCCGTGTCCCCTGCATCGGCAGGCGGACTCTCAACCACTGCGCCACCAGGGAAGCCCCAGTTTTACTTTTTTAAAGACTTTTTTTTAAGAGCAGTTTTAAGTACACAGCAAAATTTAGAGGAGGGTACAGAGAGTTCACATATAACCCCTTTCCCCACACATGCATAGTCTTCCTCCATTATCAACCACCAGAATGGTATATTTGTTATGGTTAATTAACCTACAGTGATATCCTAATCGCCCAAAGTCCATAGTTTATCTTAGGTTTCACTGTTGGTGTGGTGCATTCTATGGTTTGGACAAATATAAAATGACATATCCTTCATTACAATATCATACAGAGTATTTCCACTTCCCTAAAAATCTTCTGTGCCCTGTTTATCTCTCCCTCCTCCCTCAACCCTTGGCAACCTCTGATCTTACCATCTCCATTGTTTTGCCTTTTCCAGAATATCAGTAGTTGGAATAATACAGTATGTAGACTTCAGATTGGCTTCTTTCACTTAGTAGTATGTGCTTAAGGTTCCTCCATGCCTTTTCAAGGCTTGATAGCTAACTTCTTTTTAGCAGTGAATAATAGTCCACTCTCCATTTGTACCAAGTTTGTTTATCCATTCACCTTCTGAAAGACATCTTGATTGTTTCCATATTTGGGCAATTATGAAAAAGCTGCTATAAACATCTGTGTGGGGCTTCCCTGGTGGCGCAGTGGTTGAGAGTCTGCCTGCCGATGCAGGGGACACGGGTTCGTGCCCCGGTCCGGGAGGATCCCACATGCCCCGGAGCGGCTGGGCCCGTGAGCCATGGCCGCTGAGCCTGCGCGTCCAAAGCCTGTGCTCTGCAACGGGAGAGGCTGCGGCGGTGAGAGGCCTGCGTACCACACACACACACACACACACACACACACAAATCTGTGTGCAGGTTCTTGTGTACATGTAATTTACCAGCACTTTGGATAAATACCAAGGAGTGCAATTGCTAGATCACATGGTAAGAATGTTTAGTTTTGTAAGAAACTACCAAATTGTCTTCAAAAGTGACTGTACCACTTTGCATCCGCACCAGTGATGAATTGAGAGTTCCTGTTGCTCTGCGTCCTTGTCAGCATTTGATGTCACTTTCCAGGGTTTGGTCATTCTAATAGATGTGTAGTGGTATCTCTTGCTTTAATTTGCATTTCCCTCATGACTTATGATGTGGAGCATCTTTTCATATGCTTATTTGCCATCTGTATGTTGTCTTTGGTGAGGTATCTGTTAAGACCTTTGGTCCATTAAGAGTTCTTTGTATATTTTAGGTAACAGTCCTTTATGAGATGTTTCTTGCAAATATTTTCTCCCAGTCTATGATATGTCTTCTCATTACCTTGATAGTATCTTTCACAGAGCAGATTTTAATTTTAATGGAGTCCAGCTTATCAATTATTTCTTTCATGGATTGTACCTTTGGTTTTGTTTCTAAAAGTCATTGCTAGAATTCTCGTTTCCTGTTCTGCCTGTAAGGACCTTGGAAGTCGCCACTCTATGCTAACAATCAGTAATATAATCTGAATGGACTGAAAAAGTCACCAACTCTTCTTGGATCTGTAAGAGAGGAGGGTACAGGGCAAATCACTTCCTGCAAGATTGGAGAGACAGAATACAGGGAGTCACAGCTTACTGGAGCAGAGACTTCTGAGCAGAAACCAGTGCGGGAACCAGCTGGGTAGGAAAATCCGAACTGTAATTGATGAGTTGCTGGAGGCTCAGTGTGGACAAATCTGAGAATTAAAAACTCCAGGGGACCCAGTCATAGTGGTGTCCTCACAATTGTGTGAGATTCACCTCTAGGAGCTCTACCAGGTTCTCACAGTAAATACCAGAGAAAAATCCCTTCCTGTTTCTGGTGGAGAGGGGAAAAGGAACCATTTTGGAATATGCCAGAGCACTCTGTTCTTCTTAACAAGGTTTCACCCTCAGGAGAAACTACTTAACCAGGACCTAACTTGCTAAATTATTATCAGTCTAACTGACCTGGGGGAAAGGAAATGCCTAACTCTAGCCCACTAGCCATCCTGT